TTATAGGAAGCATTTTTTCATCTTATCATACGAACGGGCTAAATAAAACTCAAAGTACAATTTTATTAAAAATACTTTAACATTTTTTTAAAATCGAAACCCTTCGTTGAAAAACATAGTGAAAGTTAAATTTTAATGAAAAACCCAGCGGCAAGCTGAGTATCACTTTTATATAAACTATATTTTAAACGTAAGTTGTTTGTTGGTTAAGGGATGCGATGATATATAAAATATAGTAACGAAAAAATGTAATAAAGCTTTTTTAGTTTACTTAATGTGGACTAAAAACATTACAGTGTTTTAAAGGGATTTCAACAAATAAAAATTTAGTGTAGGTTTATCTCGTCTTTTAAAAACAACAGATTTCGTTGTTGCTGATTAATACCAGTAGTAGTTTATATACTGGCTGACCTTAATAACGTGGACCTGATCAAATCTGCTGGTTTCATTTGCTGGGCAGCAACTAATTGTTGCCTAATTAGAGCACACCCAAGACGCCAAGACACTTGGATCTCTAGGCCAAATCTTGGGGAGCGGCAACAAGTTCAAATCACGCAGAGCTTCCGTTTAATTTGCTTACACGAGTAACGTATCGATCTCTTTTGGCCGACAATGTGAACCTGGGCCTGGGAACGGGTGCCCTAAGTACATTTCGTTTGAAATTCAATTAAAAGATCTCATTTGACCTTTAAACGTTTCATTCTCGAACGGTAGACACAATCCACAGGTGGCACATTAAAGCGATTTCTCAGCTACTTTTCGGCTACTGCATGGGCATGGACAGGCAGTCAGTCAGTCAGTTTGTCGGTTTTATGATCGCTGCGGATGAACGAAAATTTAAATTATAAAGCAATTAAAGAGCACAAATAACCAAAAAAAAAAAAAAAAACAAATAAGACAATCGAGAAAGAACTTATAAGAATATTAGATACCCTTTATTTAACTTGAAAATAGATTTACTTTTTCTATTTGTTGTCTGATCTACCAGAAATGCTACTTACTTCCTTTAAAATTACAGTGGAGCAAATGTGTATTTTTGTTCAACTGGTCTATGTGTGTATATAAAGACTCTGTAACAAATCTGTTGATTTTGGAGCTCAAGAAGATCTCAAATGGGTGCTCTGACCACTGAGAGACTTTTCTACGATTTTGTATACCTTTTTCATAAGCTGTTAATGGGTACAGGATATTAAAATACAACAAACAAAGGCAACAATTGCCGTCGAAACGGCAACTTGTATGGCCGAGCTCGCATGGGGTGGGGTGGTTGGTTAGGAAGGTAATTAAATGTAATTAATTTTCACATGCCACAAAATTAAATGCATTTAAATCCGATCTCAAATGCGGAGAGTGTGAGCTTTATAAATAGCGAATGGCTTAATGGCCCGACGTTTGTTAAATGCGATTTAAAAAGTTTCATTAAATTAAAAAACAAAGCAACAACAATAATAAGATAAACGATCCGTGTATGAGCAATATAACAACAACAGTAAGAAAGAAAGAGTTATTGCAATTTTAATTTTTAATTTTTATTTCAAGTTGACTATGACGACAGGTGAATAAACCATGGGTCAAGACGGCCAACAAACGATGAGCAAAAGCAAAAATTACTTTAAAACAGCATTTGGGCCATTTACCGTTGCGCCCTCGAGGCGTGGCCATGTTTCATTTTTGAGGGCAACATTCGTTGAAAGTTTGCTGTTGCTGTTGCTGTTGTTGTGTTTGCTACTGAAGCTAATGCTATAGCTTTAGCTGATGCTGATGCTGTGGCTCTGTACGATCACCATCATTGCTATCTCACTCGCTCGCTTAATGACCACAAAATTCAACGGAAAAAATGGCGTTTAACTGTAACTGGGCAATGTGAAACATTTTCGGGTCAGGTGCTGCCAACGAGATTTCACCAAACAGCCAACGCCCCACAGTTTTCATTATCTTACGGTAATATCGCTCATAAAGCTCTGACTTTAGTTGCTTTTGATGTTTCATCATCAGCACCATCATTATCATCATCATGATCATGAGCATGATGATGATCATTTGGTCAGCCTTCGGTCATCATGTGCTGATCTCTAGACCCATATGTATGTACATTCATATAGCAACGTCAGCTCGTTATGGTTTCCTACATGGCTTGTCATTGCTTTGTTGGCCTGCTTGGTAATATCTACACGGTCGCCTTTTGCTGTTTCTTTATTTTATTTTTGGTGTTACTTTTCGTTTGGTTATTGCGCAGATTTATCTTAGAGTTTGCTCTTTTGATTGGCCCGTTGTGTATAGTTTTTATTTTTATTTGTGTATAGTTTTTTTTTCTTTTCTTTTTATTGCCGGTCGTTTGTTTTTGGTGGGTCAACCGTTTGTTGCAATTTCCGGTGAACTTAAAATGAATTTGCCATTTGTGTCGGCTTAAATCAAATTAAATACAGAGCCGCTGGGAGAACGTAAAGCTTTGGCATTTAAGTCAAAGCAATACGAACTTTTGAAAGGCAGCAATTGTAAAAGTATTATTGGAATAGTTACTAGTCATATAGGACCGTAATGGTTCCTTATAATTTTAAATGGCATTTCTTGAGTGGAAATTCGCCTTCACTTTTTGTAATATTAGTAATACTAAACTTCACATTGATATATACGAATGTGAAAGTCTCTATAGATTTTTAAAAATTATATATATTTTATAAGCACATACTTTAAAAACTGAAATTTAAACATAACTTTGCTTTCTGAGTTCAGTACCCAGAGCAAAAGTAAATCTATTGATGGCTCTGATGTGTCTTGGACCTGATGTAAAATTCCGATGCACAAACGGACAACTATTTTTAATTATCAACTCAAGGAGATAGAACTGTGAATAACGACAACTTATAAAAATGAGGCATTGTACGTTGAAGCATCCATGGGTCAAGGATAATTACTGTGGGCCAGTTGAAAGTTTTCCAGGCCGTAGCAGCAACATGGAATTGATTACACACGCATTACGGCAACGGTTTAATCATTACGTTTAAATCTAATAGAGCATTCATCGTATCGTAGTACGAGTGCATATGTCTGAACAAGTGTTTATTTATTATCTACTTGCTGTTTTTATTATTTTTGTGCAACAACATTTCTCATTTTGTTTTATAGTCAAGCAGAATATGCTTCAGGTGGGGTGGGGAGGTGAATGCGAACACAGGGGTCAAACTTGCACACTTGAAGCACTCTCATCAACAGGAACATCAACAGCAACAGCAACACATGTCATTGTTACAGGTGAGTTGTCCGCCTGCCTGCTGATTTAAATATGTTGATAACACAACGCAAGTCTCTGCTGCTGCCCGTTGAGTGCCAGGCAATGCCCCCAGATCCAGTCACAGTGCCCGATCCCAGCTCCGGGCTGATTCCACTTTGAGCGCCTAACCAAACACACTCCGCACGTACCGCTAATTAGCTCGCGCTTTAAAGCCCCCAACAGCCAGGCGGGCAAGCGCACGAGTCGACGTCCATTAAAAAAAAAATACATATATATATATATATATATATATCTGTATATGTAGTGGTAAGTACAATGCACATTACGGGATGAGTTAGTGCGTCCACTGAGTGGTTGACTCAATGGCATGCTTGTTCTATCTGTGACAGATTCGTGCCACATGCGCTGTTAATTTTGGTTTTAAAAACTTTTGGAGAATAATCTATGATCATTGGCAGACAATAAATAAACACGTTAAATAGACTAAAAAGTGACTACATGAAAATTCGGATATTTTGGGTACTGAGAGCATCTTTTACAACGAAAAGAATCCCCACATAAGCTGAAATTTACTTTTAACAGCACTGCCAGCTGCATCTATAATGTACTTTTGTTACTCAGCACTCATTTTAATGCGTAAAATACCATATATACCCGCCGGTAAATGTATTTGTGTGACAAACTAAAATTTTCATCATGTTCTGAAAAGATTTTATTTATGCTGTGTGCTTTGGAATCTATTACCAGGAACTATAAGAAAGATTGTCAATAAAACGCATTTCTGGCCTTTTCCAAAATGATTAAATATCTTGAGGTGATGGAATTATGATTCTTTAGGGATATTTAACATAATTCAAATTAAACTAATAATGAATTGTTACTATTAATTTCAAGAAAAAAATGTTTAAATTGTTTATTAAGAATATTCATAATTGTAATTTTATAATTTATTTTAAATGACATTGTAACTTGCGTATTAAATAACAAGTGTATACTTGAAGCATAAATAAGAAAAAGTTAAAAATTGATAAAAAAGCAATATTAAAAAATATCATTACTCGATTTGAATCATTTATTTATATTTCTTGCTTTCTTTATATGTAATTTTATCTTAAATTGTATTTTCATTTCATATACAAATAATAATATCGTCTTCCATAGACACATTTCTTATGATCCAATTTCCTGTTCATCGTTATTCGACTTGAATCACCAATGCTTCAACAATATCTCGATTTTACTTTAGCTTGGAATTTTATTTAAAAGTTTTCCCTAGTCTTAGCCTCGTTGATTACTCATTCATTATAACTTTATTTAAGCTAAAGAATTTCATTTTCATGTGTAATGCGTACTTATTAAAACCTATTTTGTAATTCTGTCATATCTTTGTAGTATTAGCGCCTCCCCAAAATATACTACTGTTTCCTGAGTTGATTAGCTGTTCTGTAAGATAAATACCCAGCCGAAAAGAAGACCACATAAAAAAGTTGTTTCAAGTATTTTGTCAAATATATTACTTAATTATTTTTTTTTTCGTTTCCAACACAAAGTCATATATAATTTTAATTATTTTGTATTTTTTGTAAATTTCTCGTTGACACTTAAATGCTAAATATTATGTACAAATATCCATCGGTAGAGTTTTGTGTGTGTTTGTGTGTGTGTGTGGTTGTCCTTTTGTATGTGTACAGCCTAAATATTATAAATACTCGTGATTTGCTCAAGCAGTAAACAAATTAAAAATAGTTATACAAAGCAAATATGCAACATTTTTTACTGTATTCGAATTCTTGTAAATATAGTTTTATTTCCATTTTGAAGCGAGTGCGTCGATTTATCCTTGTAACATTTCGGACTAATTCTCTCCTCTCACTTTGTCTGTCTTTTGTAAATATTTATATAGATGGAAGGAACAATGGACGACATATGCGAACACAGTTTGTCGTTGTATAAGTGAGTGTGTGTGTGTGTGTGTGTGTGTGTGTGTGTGTGTGTGTCTGTCTCTGAATTTCTTAAAATACGAAAGACTACTGCAATGGGTGCCGAAACTGAATTGTGAAAAGCGTGCTTTTAATAATGATTAGCATTAGGAATCATATTAAACTAAGAAAATACTCATTGCAGCTTACTGTTAAGTACGTATGTCATTATTTTAAATATCAGTAATACGTAATCACTTACTGGCAACATAAATGCAAAACGTAACATCAACTTTTAACAAATTGCTTTTTTTCTTTTGATTTTGTTGATAATTTTTTAGCTCTACGCTAATAACATTAACTACTCAAAAAACATTTAACGACTAAAACGCTAAACAAAATTCGTTTTATATTTCATTTGACTAACATTTATGCGATTTGCGAGTTTGATGAAGACAACATTTGAAGCGACTCAAGTCACTTGCCGATTTGTGATTGGGATTGTGATTTTAGCCATTTAATGAAGTATTTTTGTTTTTGGTTTTTTTCATTTTCGGTAATTAGTTGTTATTGTGAGTGAGTATTACTAAATATGTATAGGTTATTTAGTTGCTTCCAACTCTGGACAAGACACACATTCAGCAAATTGCTCATATCATCAATTAAGGTTATGGTTCTGTTTAGTTTTCTTTATATAAAGATCATTTAAAACTGGACCAGATGAGGTTGTGCATAGAAAAAACTATTTACAATGTGCGCTGGGGTTAGATACGTTTATGTTTTAGTTTTTTTTTTTTTGTTGCTTTGAGTTAAGTTTAGTTATCCGTGTGATAATGCTGCTGTTGCTGTTGTTGTTGCTGTTGCTGCTGCTGTTGCTGCTGTTGATGATGATACAGAGAAGAAGTAGCTTGTGCCGATGAGGTCGATGTTGTTGCTGTTGTTGCAGCCTTGATCGCTGGCATTATATCCTCAATTTGAATTAGGTGTTCGATGGGTATTAAGGATAATTCACCGCCCACGGGCTGGGGCATGGGCAGCTTAGCCAGAGCCTGAATAATGCAAAGAAATTAAGTATAGGGTATATTGAAGTCGTGTCAAATCATCTCGTCTACCTTGGCGTGCTCGACGGCAATTGTCGCCGCCTTTTCAGCCTCGCGCTGTCTTCGCTCCTTCAGCTTGAGTGAGAATATGGCCACAGAGCGTGCACTTTTGACCAGCTTCTGTTTAAGCCGCGATTTCTTGGCCGCCAATTCAGCAGCTGTAAGGCAAATATTTGTCAAATTAATTAAAAGTTTTTTCTGTTTGCCCAATTTGTTGGACTCACCCTTTGTCTCGTCGTCTGCACTGCCGGATGCAGCCGAAGTGGATGCAGTGACTGCAGCAGCAGCTGCTTGTGCCTGTTCCTGCTCTCGTTCCCGTTCCCGTTCTCGTTCCCGTTCTCGTTCCTCCTTCGCCAGCTTCTGCTGCTGCTTGTGTGATGAGCCTGATGAGGAATTCGATAGAGCGCCCACGCTGGGTCGAGACTGTGAATTGCTGATGCCGCTGCCGCTGGCTGTGGGGCCGGCGCCGCTAGGACTAAAAACGCTGCCCCCGCCGCCCGATGAGGATGATGATGAGGCAACAATATGATGTTGTTGTTGTTGCTGCTGCTGCTGGGAGGCTGGCGGTGTCGCCAACATCAAGCTGCTTGTTGCGCCCGTCTTAAGCGCCACATTGCTCCACGAGGGCGCTGGCTTTAAAATATCGGTGTTATCTGCTGCACTGCTGCCGAGTTCCTTGTGATTGGATATTGGGAGGATGTACAGAATTAAGTTAATCGACCTGCTTATTATCTGTATGCAAACTACGCACAAACACACACTTAAAGCTTGTTACATGCACATGTTAATAATGAGTTTGTGGGTGTGTTTGAAGCCAGCGTGAAATTGGTTATACATATGTGTGAGATCAAGCAATTGCCATGCCAAGAAGTTTGAGCCTTTAAGATGATTGTTATTAAGTACATTTCAGTTGCCTCAAAAGATCTTAACTACGTACAGAACGCAGCCTCAATTGCAACGCAAACATTTTAATTGAATACATTGAGAATATTATAGATCAATATATGTATATGTATATCTATATATGGTGGGTATATCAAAACCCCCATCGAGCACACATCGATTAACACATATTTAATAGGGGTTTATGTCAGTTATCTCTCGACTACCTTGGCAATACAATCTATGCTTCTATGCAGGCTCGTATTATCGTTGACCTTTAAGCGGGACATCCATTCAGGTCCGTGGAGTTTAATCTGTAGTTTATCCTTTAAACAGGAGAATGATGTTAGAGTAGCTTCTGGATTGTTTTGATTAAGTGTATGCACTGTTTAATGTATTATCTATATAGCCTATACAATGAATATAGTTCAAACGTTTTTAAGTTTTATTTTTCATTTTTTGTGTAAATTTTTCCATCCAGTTGAAAATCGAAGTTAAATTAAATTATGCAAAATTTTGAAAAATTATTTAAATTATTAATATTTCATAACCTGTACCCATTGCAAATATTCAATAAGAGTCAAGGTTGGAAGGAAACATTTTCGCCGTTCATTTTTGTATTTTTTAAATGTTTTTCCGGTTTTTTATTTATATGTTTTGTGCATTTACCATTCATTCTAAGATCGACAAAAATAGAATAGGTGATCTTTTAGCGGAATAGCTCAGTTTTAATGTAGAGGTGTGACGTAAATTTGGCAAAATTTTAAAAATTAAAAGTCTACGAAACTACTCACAGAGGATGCCACAAATGTTGTACTTGGTATTTTGTGGTAAACGTGTCATAGTAGTACCTACTAGCTAGGTTTGTATTTAAGCACCAAGGGTTTCAACTACACAGTAATGTTCAATCAGTATGTCGACTTTTTTATGTTTGTGTTTATATATCTAGAGAAATTATGAAATACAAATGTTGATCTATGTCTTACGCTCATCTGCAATTGTGTTGCACTCTCCGCGGATATTTTACGCGTCTTGTTGTACGGCGGAATCTCAGGGATTTTAGATGTTTGTTGGTGCTGTTGTTGTTGCTGCTGCTGCTGCTGTTGCTGGTGGGCTGACTGTTGTTGTAGTTGTTGAAGTTGCAACTGACGCATCGAGGCACGCTGTGGACTGCTGCCTGTGCTGCTGCCAGTGTGATCGGCCGAATCACTAGATTTCTTACGGAACGGCGGTATATCTTGTATAAGCATCGATTGCATTCGCATCTGAGCGTAGCTGGCAGCGGCAGAGTTTAGAGCTAGTGTGCTAGCTGAAGCGCTGTAAAGTGCCATATGAGCAAGCGAGACATAAAATAGATCAAAATAGAGTGTGAATTTGTTTAAAATGTTGGAGAAAAGTAGCGGGTATTCCAGTGATCGAATTAACTCTTTCATTCGATTTCTTAAGCTCCGGCATATTTTTGAAAGTTTTTAATTGTGAAAGTCATTAAAAATATTTAGCGAGCTTTTGTTACAATATTTTACAATTCAAAAATGAACAAAACTTTAGTTATTCGATTTGCTGGAAAACCGCTACTTGTCATAATATTTACATTATATTAAGAAAAAAAAGATATATATAGATAGAAGCGACTTGTAAAGTTAGCGAGCTGTGCCAATCGGAGAAAAGTTTTACATCACAAATTTTGAATTTCGGAAAGCGAAAAGAACAACAACACACAGCAAAAACGAGAACAAATATCGGTTTTATATTCAGATACATGTGTACATATGCCCAAATGTGTACAATATATACAAATGTCTGTATATACAGTGTTTGAATTTACTACCACCATAGCAGAAAGAGCAATCACGTCAGCTCTCTACTATTGCTCCATTCAGTAAAAGTAAAGCGCAAAAATTAAAAAATGGAGAGTAGCATTTTCAAAAACACTGTGTTTTCTAAGTACTGCAACTATAGATTGGTATAGACTAGATTTACCCGCTTAGCAGCTGTTGTTGTTGCATTCTTTGGCTGTGAGATGACAGAGCGCTCAAATTGCGCACCGAACATCCAAGAAATGGCGGTATTTCCGGTATGAAGAATAGCGATTTTTGTCTACAACTTTTACAAGCACTGCACAAGATTTTTTATTGGGAAAAATATAAATGCAATTTGTGTGGGCAAAGTAAATATACATATAAGTAATAAAAAACAGTGCCCATTATTAAATAAATTAAATAAGAATGAGAATATTTACATAAACAAGACTTGTTGGAAATTATTACGAGAACTTTGAACGTGCCTCCGAGGTGCACATATGTGAGTATGATTGTGTGAGTGTGGCATGTGTGTGTGCTTATGTATTTAGTGTGTGTGTGTGTGTGTGTGTGTGTGTGTGTTGTTACTTAATTGAGTTGGCGTGTGCAAAATAACTTAGGCTGTCCTATATTAATATTTTATATAGTAATTTGCTGCCTCACCCATTCCCATCCAGATGCAAGCTGGTCAGCGAGGCGCCACCGTGCGGCGGCGTCGATTCATGCAGCGGACGTATGAGTATTGTGCTCGTCTGCAATATTTAAATAAAATGTGTAAATTAATCACTTTCATTTTAAATTGATGCATACGCTTAACACGCACCTGCGATGGTGGCGAATCCGGCGAGGAGTCGCGACTCTCATAAATATTAACATCCGCCTCGATGCTACTCCGCCCATAGCTGGCAGCCAACTCGTGGCCATAAAGCAGCATATTCTCGGCCAGCTGACTCTCCATGGACTGATCGTGTGTGGTGTTCGAGCCCCCCGTGCCCTCTTGCTCCGGCTGAGTGGATGTGGTTGATGGCGGTGTCGGCGGGGTAGGACGTGGCGAGGTGCCCTTGCATTGCATCTCACGACGACAGTGCTCGGCCCGAGCTATCTCCGCTGCCAGCCAGGAGGGCAGCTCCGGCAGCAGCCATGTCAACGCCTGCCGCAGTCCCAGCATGATGTGCTGTGAACAAAAAAGAAAAACAGGAAACAATGGCTATTTTAGGCAATCCAAACACTTATAATATCCTCTGGCTAATGCGTAGATTCCAGAGATCACACTTACCTCCAGTGTAACTATCAATATAATAGTCTGTGCAGTTGACAGACCGGGCCACAGGCGAGACACCTGACCGGACAAACCAATCAGCGCACAGTTCACAATTACCGCGGCCAGCGACAGGATACTCAACGCATTCTGCCAGGTGCCAATGTTGGCCACACGCTGCCCAAATGGACGCTGGTGCACATGGGCCAGCTTGAATGCGTCCGACCGTATCTCCATTAGGTTGTTTATGAGCGCACAAATGCCAGCCAGGGGAAATGCAGCCGAGAAGAGGACCACGTAACCCATCTGCACCAGCATCTCTAAATGATCCGAGAAGGTGCCATCGTACTGCAAAACACAAAACATCACTTTCAATATACACGTAGTTTCCAATAGAATAAATTATAAGAATCTAAGAATCTAACTTATGCTAAAATGGTATGCTTTTTATTGTATACGTAAAATAGACAATTAGCTATTTAGATTGACTCAAAACTACGTCTATTTTCATACATATGCAACGTTTTTAACTCAAATTACATTTATTTGGCACGTGTTAAAGAAACCATTTCGAATATTATATTTTATCACAATTTATTTATTTGATTCTCAGCCAACTTCCATTTGAACTAAAAATTTGCTTTTTATCTAAAGTGTTTTTGGCATTGTTGAAGAAACCATTTTGAATTTTTTATTTTCGTTAATGTTTTTAACAGATTTACTGATTTGTTAATATTTTTCTATAGCACTAACCTTATAAAATGAGCTCTCAATCTCAGCCTGGCCAATGTTGCGTTTGCTTGTCGCATGCTGCTGCTGCTGATGCTGCTGCTGTTGCTCCTCCTGTTGGCCCTGCGTTGTGGACGTGGCAGCAGCTGCATCATCCTTAAGTTTCTGCTCGGCGGTGGCCAGTTCATCTGCCAGACTGCGGTTCACAGTCTGTGTGGGACTGAGGGCGCCCCACATATTGAAGCTCAGTTTGGCCAGCTTCCATTGCTCCAAGAAATAGGGAATGGCCGATTCGCGTAAGTTGCCAATGATTTGGCGAGAGATTAGCAGGCCAGCAAGTTGCTGAAAAAGTGCAGAGAGTTTAAATAATGGTAATCAAATGCATAAAATATGTTGGGCAAACCTCTTTAAGCTTATCCTCATCGCGCAAATAAAAGGCAATGTAGAAGAGCGATAGAAACGAGTTGACAAATTGAAAGAGGGCCACTTTAGCAATCAAATGGTTCTCATACTTCGATTGCAGTCGATAATTTTCTGTGGAGCATATAAATGTTTATAGATTAATTATCCAAAGCTGTTGTTCGATTATGTCTCACCTCGATCGTTAAGCCAAACTGCCAATTTGAAATATGCCTCATCCATCAAGGTAATAGCACCAGCCAAAAGCACTTTGGGTATCACACTCAGACAGCACAGAACACTCTCCTCCGGCAACTTGGAGTCCCACCAATCCTAGAACGCACAAAAACAAAAACAAATAAAATTAATGAGTGCATATTTACACAAATTAACTGATATAATATACAGAAATTAGAGAAAGAGAGTGGTAATAAAGAAGTGGCAACTTGTCAATCGAGCACATTAACCAAACATAGTTTTTCTGGCTGCCCCCAACACTAGCTATTTAATAGCATTTGATTTTGCCAGCAAGTCAATTACTATACACGCACTTCATTTACTACATTGCAGCTCTGATTACATTAAGATATTTCCGGTGTGAAGTGGTTGAATAAAAGCCCACAGTGATGGGGGAGTTGAATGGTTATTAAACGTTTTGTGTACAATGGCTGAGAACTCAAACTGGCATATGCAGTCTCTGGAGTAAACTCGAAGCATTTAAGGGATATTTTAATTTCAAACCAAAATCAAACAATTACCAGACTATGAAATACCTCCTAACTCGCAAACAGCAGCCTTCTGAATTGATCTAATTACCAATTTTTTTGACTTATCCCTAATCCTTACTAGAAATATTTTACTTTTGTATTAATTTCATTGTATATAATTTGTTTATTGTAACTTCCATTTTAATTTTTTTAATACCTTTATTAAAAATTGTGGAGTTTTAATAAAAAGTCATATTTATTTCTGAATAGCAGAGACTAAAATACCATAATTTGGTATGGACACCATACTTTATCAAATATTCCATAATTTTTTTTCCATAATTAATTTTAGGTGATAAAAGATTACTTTCATGCATTTCATTGAATAGCATAGCACAATTTTAAGTTTTTTTTTATTCTCTCAGCATGCCAAAAATATTCCTTTGTTTAAAATGTATTCATGCCATAGGAATATGCCGCGCAGCCTGCCACTTTTGCTGGGTATTGTAACAACAATAAACTCATTGCCTACCAGCAGGCGCCCATTTTGTGGCACACAATAACAAAAGCAGTTTGCGCTTTTTAATCTGCCACTGCTGCAGCGAGAGTCTGTGTGTTTGTATATATATATACGTGTGTGTGGGTCCCTTTTGTGTTATTGCATCATTTTCAACTTAATTAGCAGCTTGTGTTGGGCTAAGGTAGTCGGCTCAACTGCAAGCTGAATTTCATCATTTCCGCAACTCGTTGGCATAAGCAGCACAGCGTTAAGAACAGGATATTATGAATGATTATGATTGCATAGTGTTTGCAGCATTATAATTATGGGGCATATGGGATTAACTAACATTGTACGCGAAAACAGCTATTGTTTAGCCAAATATTACTGTGTTCAATCAGAATATATATATTTTTTTCTGTATCTATATCTGTAAGATTTTGAATAAAGAAATAAACATATACAATGTATAAATTTGTATTTTTTGAAGAACATATAATAATCAAATAATTAACTATGGCTTAAAACCCCTTTTAATTTGATTTGATGAATTTGTATTTTTCAATTTGTTTTAGTTTAATTTAAAATATACTGTGTAAAACATTTAAAATTAAGGTAAAGTTTCATATTTCTTAAATTTAAAAATCTTTATGATGCCTTAAAAATGTTTATCCTTGCAAATAAAGTAAAATGCTTAGTCATTTTTATTGTAATAATTTTTTTATAGGTGCTTTTGATGTGCTACTATATATATATATATATATATATATTATATATTATATTTTAAGCTCTTGCCATTAGAAGCTCAAGAGCGGCGCACTAAAACTAGAAGCACAATTTAGTTAGCTTGACTTGACACGAGTACTTAACTCTTTTACTACACTGAGCAATTGACTGACTTGCTGAACGTGACACATAAACACCGACACACACATACACAAACACAAACACATACACAAGCACACACACATACACAAACACACACACACACATACACAAACACACACGAGCGCAGCAGTCTGCTCTGTCACATGTAAGCGCTTTTAAACCAAAATGCATTGTTTGTGTTCCAGTTTTTAGGTTCTCTTTTAATACCCTGAACTCCTTAAAAATGAGTAAAACGGGTATAATGGTTTTGTGCATGAGTACGTAAAAGGCAGAAGGAAACATCTGCCACATCATATATATTCTTGATCAATATCAGCAGCCGAATACAAATGGCAATTTCCGCCTGTCCGTCTGCATCAACATGCCAATCTCGCAGACTTCAACTGTGGAATATGCTATATATATATTATATCTTATACCCACTGCAGACAAAGCTTATTTAATTCTTATCGATAATTGCCCTCGTTTCGCGAATACTACATGAAATGTTATTCATCAGGCGAAAGCATTTCTTGTCAGTTAGTTTTACTTTTGTAGTCTCCAGTAACTGTGCCGGGGAAAAATAGTTAATTTGACAATAAAACCGCATTAAAAAACAATTATATTCAGGGTATATATTAGTCGAGCTCACTCGAAAACAGCATTCTTATTTAGTTCTATTAAGACGGGGTATACGCAGTGCATAAAAGAATGCATGAGACAAGACAGCAGCATAATAATGTCATTGTCAGATTATGGATAGTCCGAGTTGGTCGGATTTAGTACTTGAACTAACGGGAAATGAAATGCATCCACAAAGTGATAGCTCCATTACACAATTCAGTAATTGTTAATAACGCAATTTCTATTCAGTCTGCTCTACAGACAGAAGCGAACTTATGTAAGACCAACGAGATTTAAATCAGAAGAGGATAAGTTGAAGCACTAATTGTGATAAAACAATTTGAGCACAACCTTGTCTGTTTCATTGTTATTAAGCAGCTTAAACAATTTGTGATACAGTCTCGGTTACCCAAGGATTTTCAACAATGATAGTAAAACTATACATAAGCCGGCCAAAATATTGATATAAAACAATGTGTTACATTGAAAATGTTGCTTGGTTTCTACTAAAGAGATTTGTTCTTTTGAGTGTCTTTAATTGTTTCATTGTTAGAAATTGCTCCTAAATTAGGAGGTGGAAATGGGGGGATGCCTAAATAATTGCTATACCACTTTGTTGGCATTACCTTTTGTTGTAGCTGTGCCTATTGTTGATTCTTGTTGTCGGTTGTTTCTATTCTTAGTATTCAATCATGCGTAAAATATGGCGAGTGTCAAGCAAGGCGTTGCCCATTTTATCAATGTACGCTTTTGGTTTCTATTTCGCTTTTCTTTCGGCCTCCTTAACTTTGGGACTCCCACTGAAAACTGTAACAATGCCAACGCCGCTGGCCACTTTCGGAGCATTTTAATCAACGCCAGTTAAGAATTCTCTTTCGACATTTTGGTTGTGTGTATGTGTATTTGCCTTAAAAAGTTCCAATGTAAATTGTTGGCCAAAAGGCATTGCAGAAATGCGCCGCGAGTGCGTATGGATAAAGTTTTAATTAAAACTCGCACAGCCAAGCACAAGTTGAAAGCGACGAAGCTTCTTGTTTTTAACTCACTTGCAGTAAGTTGTTCAGCACTAACGTGTTACGTGAAACTTTCACCTTTTATTATATAACTCAATAGTTTATCGTTCATTTTAAATTATTTTTTTGTACATTCGTTTGATTTAATACTTAATACCTAATCTAAAAAGGCTTTAACTCAGTTCATAGATAATAAATTATTTCAAATACATTAAAAAATAATTGTAAACATCTATTTTAAATCGATTAAATAAAATTAAATAATCTTAACTATTTTAAAAAAAAACTTTAAGCGATTAAGACTTGGTATATTTATTTACGATTCCATTTTTAAATCTACAAAAAATCAGTTCTTTATCTAATAATAACCACAAACATCACAGTGCTTGAAAGACAGACTGACATGAATAAGATGACTTATCAATTGATACCTTATGAAGATGCTAACAAGTCGATTGGTATTATACAGGACGCCCTTCTTATCGTAGCTCAAAAGAGTTTTAGATTCAGATTTAAGAAAAAATTACAATTCGCCCCTCACACCTTTTATGAAAAGCAGGGTATGCCTTTGGTATTGTTGCGAGTGGTGAGTGGTAAGTACGAGACATGGATGATATGATAGCTAGTTTTATAGATCGTCGAAGTGTGAGCATAAAAAATACATTTATATATATATACTAGTACGAGTAATTATAATAATAAAAGTTAAAAATGAATAAAAACCTTGTGCAAATTATACATGCATTGAGCAATTCCTTTATCGGGTATGTTATGATGATCCAGCCAATCCTGCGGAAAAGAAACAACAAACAAACGAAGAAAGAACGGAAAGAAGGAAAATAATTCAATGAGGCGTGATGTATGATAAATAACGTTTTCATTTCATTTGACTTTGTTGTATTTGTATTTGCCTTTGCACTGCAAACGAAACGTAAAATCAACAAAAATAAAAGGAAAAAGAAAACGAGCCAAAAAAGAAAGAAAAACAAAGAGGTGCGCATAAGAAAGCCAAATGCAGCAGAGCAAGCGTCAACCGGAAAATGAGCGTGAATGGTGGGTGTGCGAGTGTGTGTGTGTGTGTGTGTGTGTGTGTGTCTGTGTGTGTGTGTGTGTGGCAGTTAATGTGTCTACGTGCTTGTGGAAGTGTGCGTGTGCTCTAATGAGTGTGAAGCGCAACAACAGCAGCAGCAACGGCAACAACAAGCACGCTAACGAATTGCGAATGGATACCCCTAAGCAAATTGATAAACACACCTCACACACACATTAAAAGGCGTTAAACTTAACACACACACACACACACAGAGACACACACACTCGTTTCTCAAATTATGACAGACATCGTGGGAATTTCGGATGGGTTTGGGTATCATTTGTCATAAAAAACCATATTAATTATACGCACTGTGTGATAATCATGCAATTCCCCAAGGGAATACTAAATTTGTAATACGCTTGCCATTAGATTTAGCATATGGACTGTTACTTGATGATGATGTTACCCGATACTTGAAGTAAGTCTATTGACCTTAATTTGAAGCTAGCTCCAAACTTGAACATTGTTAAGAACATATTTATGAGTACAGGTCGAAAAGTGAATCTCTTTAGTTCCAAAATTGAATAATTCATATATATAATCATGAAGCCTGTACATCAATCATCTAATAGATTTCTCTAAGCAAAAAAATTAAAACAAATAATAACTCAATTATAAGTATGATATTTTGAATTAATTGACTACTGCAGAGCAACGTCATAGGAATTCCATTATATAATGAAGGATTATAATGAAAATGTTCTCCAAAATACATTTATCTAATTTCTGAACATAAACTTAAATATTTAATTTCATTTTTAATATTGTTTCTATATAGATTTTTGTATTTTTCTGTGTTGACTGATAATAATCAACATGAAATTAATAAATTCAGAACTTCAGAGCCATAACATCATCAACAAGTAAATACGTTCGAATTGAGGTCTTAATTTATTTAATCGTTGGCATTAAAAACAAAGTTACCGAAAATGTAAACATGCTAAAAATAAAAGAACAAACTTGTCTCTCTTCTTTGCAGGGACACACAGTAGTCAATAAACCAAAGATGTTGCTAATTTGAACTCACCTGGAATCGCAGCATGAGAAACATCACAGCAAACACCACGCAGAGGCAGAGTCCAATCACTGGAAAACTGACCAAATAACGAAAGGCACGACGCTGCCAGGCGGGTGCCTCTTTGGGCTCTAATCGACCCGTCACATTGTTCTCCTCCAGCGGACCCTGTTCACAATAAACAGCAGATTGAAATGTTAGCCAAGTTAATCAGAATTGAGTGTCGATGGGGGACTACTCACTTTATAGAGCGGCCTGGGCGGTTCGAGTAGCTCTGGGGGCGTGGATAATGTGCCCCAACGAAAGGCCAACTCCACGGAGTACCGCTTCCATGCCTCCAAATACAGCGACGCCCAGGCTACATTAAACAGCGAGAACAGCACATGGCCCATATCCTGAGCGGTTTGGCCCTTGCCCCACAGTATGCAGTAGAGTATGGTGCCAAAGACAGCCGGCACGCCCAGAGCACAAGTGTAGTGGCCCAGCCAGGCAAAGTAGAGCGCGACCTTAACGCCAAAGTATGCGGCAATATCATCTGAAAATCGCACAGAACACATATCTAGTAAAAAAAGATATATCTTACGGGGCTGACATGGAAATCTCGCAAATGTATCTTTGGTTGCCTAAAGCTCTTTAGTATTTCAATAATTAATTATTTAACACCTTCATGTAGCTACAAATTTATTCTTTTTTAGAATTTAGATGAATATTACAGTTCATTATTCATTGCCAGCATGCTCAAGTAGAGTATTTCTAAGAATATTTTGGGGCTCCAATAAAGCTTAACAACTTGCGGAGCAAGAAATGTATAAAGCTTAAACTTTTCTTTTAGGCCTTCAGTCAATCTTATCTCTAATTGGGTAACCTTTGCAGAATAAATGTAAAAAATTCAAAAATCGTCCAAAAGTCTCGAGAGATTTGTATGCCAACCCAAATCAATTTGTGAATTAATGTAGAAGTGCAGACACTCACCGAGCGGCTGTGGGGCAAAGATCCGCTTGACCCAATGCGTTTGCAGCTGTGTCAGTGAGCGTGTCTCGTGCAGCGGAAAAACCTGTGTGATTAGACCCGACTCCTGCCAAGCGGCCACAATGCTCTGACCCTCGGCGACAGCGGCGCGTCCCTGCAGTGCATCAATATCGCTGCAGCCGGCGCGTAGTCCCTGCAACACCTGCAACACCAGCCACTGGCGCTCCTGTGAGGTGAACAATGCCGTGCTGCCCACATCGCCACGCAGCTGCTGGAAGCAGTGGCTCTCACGGGTGGTAAACTCACGCAGTGCCCCGCCCAGATCTGGACGCAAGCGTTTCGGCAGGCGGGCTTCCTCAGCGGCTTTGAAGAGGCTGCAAGAAATTCATTTTCTTGAAATTATATCTATACTATGTGCAACATACAAAGTAAAGTTGACAAAGTAATTTTGCATTACTTACACATTAACTGGCGCACTGACATAGAAGGCATTGCGTCTGGAACTCTCGTGCGCCTTAACTTGAACTAGGAGACCCAGACCGGCTGGTGGCTGACATCGTATGCGGGCCAGAAGCCAGCGAAGCGCCTCATCTGGCGCATCCTCGGGGAACTCAATGACCACATCGCATTGTGTCGGTATTTTGTTGAGCCAAAGGCGACGCGGCGTCATCAAATGACCAGCGTAGGGCACTTTGCGGCGTAGGTGGCGGGAAGCTTCAAATACAAATTCAGAATCAATATTTTTAGACAAAAACCAAAAGCATTTTAAATTTTAGAAGTGGATTAAAGTGTCGATTAAAGTGTTGCATTGATTAATTTACTATAATCTCTCCTAATTAGAATTGTTGAACTAACTTCGATGATTAAATCGGAACAATCAATTTTGACATTTATTAGTTACTCAGAAAAATAAGTAATACTAATTAGTAAGAATAAAGTAAAAATTCCGAAGAGTACTTAGCTGAAATTGTTTTTGTATAGATTCTAATTTATCTTTATGGACCTTGTAATTGGGAACACATATACAATATCTATATTCAAGCATTTTAAAGAGTTTTAGTAAGATATTATCAATTTTTTCAAGCAGAGCTAAATGACAACAAATGCAGAAGAATCTTAAGCTTGGGTTCTAACAGAATCAGCACATTTAAAACGATCAAATGGTTTACCATTAGGAAAATAGTTATTTAAAAAGATTTAAGATATATTTAAGATATAAGATATAATAAATTTAATTGGCAAACTATACATTCGCTTAGCCAATTTCAATGCATATAGAGTCTAACCAATTTCATGCCATGGAAAATTTGAAACCGCATAGAAAATGAAAAAATAAATGCAAATTTACGTATACATATATTTCTTTTTCTATTTTCTGCAGGTTTTTTTCCGTCATTTGCACATAAATTTTGTAGATGTTGTTTTTGGGCCGAATGCATATTTATGGTCTGCTGTCGACGGAGGATAAAAAAGACGGCAAAGCTGACAATGCCATCCGCTGGCGGAGAAGAATTATGGAGTCAGCAAGGAAAATTGGCGCTAACACAAACTGCTCGTAGAGCAAGTATCAAAAATTCCATAAGACCATCAGGTACAGATGCAGATACACAATAAAGCTGCAGATACAGATATATAAATATACGTTGGATATTTAAAATATTTCAACAGTTTAGCTAGTTTATAAAGGTATATAAACTTTTTTTGTGATATCAGGTTAGTTTGAGTGAGACAGAAAGAGAGAGAGAGAAAGAGAGAGAGAGAGAAAGAGAGAGAAAGCGAATAAGGTAGAAGCCAGTTAACACCATCTGTGCATTTGTTCTGATAAATGGCTTGTATGAGAGAAATCTCTTACAAGCAACAAATGCGAAAATCACTTTTAATTATTTATGGCAAAGCTCTCGAGATTATGTGCCAAGCAACGGTTAGCATCCACCTGACGTACTTAGTTCAAATGCAGCACAAAAAGCCGCAAAACCTGCAGCTTTATGTTGCAAAATTGTGTTGCATAACCAACAGTCAGATACATGAAAAGGAATAGCGCGCTGCAAACAAACAAGCAAACACAAGGGTAAATGACAAACCGTAAAAATTTACCACAACTTTTAATTAGAGGTGGTGGCAACCTGCAGCAATGACAAAACGACAACAAAACAAACACAAAAACTGGGCAGGAAACTTGAATACTGCCGCCCACTCAGGAAAATGTGAAAAGCGATGATAAGAACACACACAAAAAGAAAACAGCACAAAAATTGACTAATGACAGGAGCCAAAGTCGCAACACGCAAATGCCAAATACTATAGTGAAGAAAGGTGACTTTAGGCCTCTGATATCTGCACGACCATTTGGCCGATACACGAGGCCGCAATTAATTATGAAGGTAAGTCAAGGACTGCTCTGCTACTGATAGCAAACGGGCAACTTGCAATTCTCCTTCAATTCCCTTATCAGCAGCCATTATTGTACATTAAACTAATGGCTAATGCAAGTTACACGTTCTGATTTCTATGCCGCCACTTTTTATGGTTTATTTTTATATGAGAAACAAGTAAAATACATAATTAATTGGCAATTATTCTTAGATTAGGTTGCCTTTAAAATGGAAAATTCAATTAGAAGAGCTTTCATTTAAAACTTTTACCCCAACGGAAATCTGCACAAAAACGAGCCCAAAATAAGCCCAACATAAAAGATTAAAACCTTATTAAAGGCCGGCGGCAGTCAGTTAATGTAAACTTCCATCTCAATTGCAACATTGCAGATATTTATACAACAAACTGAGAAATAGATTAAAATATTTTACAAAAGGACTTTGCCGCTAATATCTAAATATATTTATAGCTCATTAGGCAAGCCTAGAGAGAGCGTGAGAGAGAACTGGAGAGAGGGAGAGAGAGGGGCGAGAGAGAGTGCTTATTTATGTTCACAAAATCTGTAGCTTGGCAATTAATTCCATAAATAAAATCGGATGCACAGACAGATTAACAGATATACATATATATATATATTTATTTATCTTTTTGTGTATAGAATGTGTAATGCCAGTTGGCAAATAAGTACGAGATGGAAATTGTATAATTTTATTGCTAGCAGCATAACAAATGAGCTGTAAATTTGTGGTGTAAGCCAGTGCGCAAATTGTTGATGCAAATTTTAGCCAATAAATCCCCAAACATACCATTTTAATATGCTGTTCGCATAGGGTCCCGTAACCCATAGGGAGCCACCATTTCATTGGCGACACGAGCCACACGCTTCGCGCATAAAATCCAGACAATGAATAAAGGCATCACACACCACACACACACACACACCACACACACACAAGCACACCTAAGGCCATATCCCTTGGAAAGGAGCATACGCATAGTAAATAGTGAGATACTTTATTGCATATCCTGCGACGGTATAATACAGGGCTTAAAGGGCAAAACGGCTTTAAGCTGCCCAAGCATATGGTAATGGGATTAGGCAATATGCATAAATGTTTCATGGGTTGGCCAATTGAATAGTTTCATAAGATATAATTCCTTACTACTGCTCAGAACGTAGCAGTTAATTAAATACAAACAAAGAAGATTATGCGGTCTTTAAACATTTGCAGTCCGGAGTATAAATTTCACTATAAATATTTATTTATATTTATATTGATATTTATATGCTATATGATTTAGTAATGAGATCCGGCCATATCTGGTATATAAGCTGAAAACATAAATATTTAAAGTTTTCTAAAGAAAGTTTCAGAACTAATGATCTATTGTAGATTGCATAGAAACAGACAGACGGACGGAGGAACATGGGTATTGGTGCTAATCAAGAATATATAATAATAATATATTAATTTATTTATCTACTTTTTTACTTATAAATTTCGTAATTTATTTTATGTAATTAACATTTACTAAAGTGCATTTGTTTTGCTATTAGCAGAATAGCTTGAACCTAATTAAACTATAAATTAATTAAACTTTAATAAAACTATGAATTCAATAAGAAGAATAAAGAAAGAGTAATTTGAAATGGATCAATACTGATTAGGAGACCAATGCATTGTTATATAATTGAATCTAGTAAAACATATCCAATACAAAAACTGCACAATTCATTAAGCTACAGTCATTACCAGGTACAATTGAAATTTCGTGCTGCTGTTAAATCAGCACCAGCTGGATCTGTCCTACATCACAAATAGGAAAAAGTGGGAAAAAATGCGAGCTGAAAGCTGTGTCCTGAATAGTTAATGAAATCATTGAAGCAGAAGCCCTCCCGGCTGGCAATCGGGAGTGAGCATCGTAATTTGTAAGACTTACGTAACCCCGAAAGCCAGCGATTAACCAGGAGCCCAAGCACCACCCAACCCACCCAGAAAGGCCAGCAAATGACTCAAATTTAATCAGTTGCTACAGCAACAATCAACTTCGGTTCCTGTAATTGCGTGAGTCGTGAGCACATTATAGCTACTTGAGACCGTTTATGTTTTAATTAGACTGTGTTGATGACATTGACAAGCAGCCAAAATGGGCAAAAGAAACTCATTAGAAATCGTGCACTTAACGCAATGTGGCCCCAAATGCGTTTAATTGAAATCAAATTATGTTAAGACTGGATTTCGTGTAGTGACACAAGAATTAATAAACGTTTTTCTCCTTTTTCTTTGACATTTATTGATCTTAGATAAGATGACTTGACAACATGAAGTTAAATTCAGTTGCCTATAAAGTGTAGCCATCGGAATAAACTTATTCTACACAACAGCACATTTAGGCCAGTATAGACATATGACATTCACCTCTGGGGCACGTGACAATTATACAAAAATTCCAGAACAATGTCGCCACTAAAGAGGAAATATGTGAAATATATTTACTGCTGACGTTTTATGGGACATGACTGTAACGACGATCAGTAAGCAAATAACAGCTAATCGATAACAATGCGTTTGCAACTCTGACATCACAGCAACCGTGCGTAGCGAATCTGATTAAGGGATAATTCAATTAATTGAAAGAAATAAATACTTCGAACAGTGCAAAGTAGGTTCAGGCCAATTAATTATATATTATAAAATTGCTTTTATAATCTGTGATTTTCGTGTATAGGCGACAGAGTCTTCCCAAAACGTGGCGACTACCAAAACAATTAAATTGTGATTGCCCTCGTTGCTGCACAGATTGCATTCTCTAACAGAAATGAATATTGCAACATACATGTTAAGTACAACCCATAAAATGAATATCATGAAATGATGGAAATACTTCATTCGAGCTCCTCGCTAAGCCTCATTAAGATGGTCACATCAGGTATTCAAATATCAACTGTGTCTGGGCCAAGCCAGATAAATTCAGCTGTCGTCAAAAATTATACAGTGATATTCATATTCATTGGCAACACTCAAGTACACTATTCAGAGCTTAACATTTATGACATTCCATTCTCATATTTATCATTGAAAAGACACTGGATAGTCCGCATATGAGTTTGTAAGCTTCTTATAACAGCCAGTTCTTAATAGAATGTGTAATCTTTAACCAACCAATTATGCATTATATGGCAGTTAAAGAGACTAAACTACATTCCCGACATCCACAAATGTGCCACAAATTCAACGATCCACACACACATTCACGCCCACCGAGACTCTCAGAGTATGATGTTGAATACTCGACATTGTCAGCCTTAACTGTCGCTCTATTCTGTTCCTCTGTACTGT